GTATAGTCGGGTGCCTATTTAACAGGCGAGTCAAACTTCGTTTTTTCGATGCGGTATCTAGGGTACAGACTAAAGCAACACAGACTACAACAACTTGTTGTGGTGTCAGATGAAAAAAACATATGATTTGATCAAAGTTCAAATGTGATAATCGGACCCATCCAAAACACGTTATTATTTACTGAATATGATAAAAAGCAAATTGAAAAAGGTAGACTGGTATTGGGGGAGGAGTGGACATAACAATTAACTCGGAACGTCGAAATGCGTAATACACGTCGGAGATAAAATCACCAAGTGATTTCGGGATCGAATCAGAATACAAGATGTACGTTACACTGCAAGGGTCTTCTTTTGTCTCGAGTTTGAACGTAGACTCAGCAAGGATGTTGATACAATAGCAATAGCTTCGCATGTCCCATAACCCAAACCCACTTCTAATAAATCCCTAACTCTTTTTTTACCCTAGAAGGGGAAAATTCATGGACCGATCAAAGACAGTGTGCTGCGCCCAGAATGATTTTGCTCAGACAAAATAGGTTACGGCCAAAATTTCATACTTAGTATGTTGCTTGGTAAGAACAAATATGCTCACCATTACTCACTACCTAATCCCAGCCAAAATGGTTGGGACACTAGGAAATAACCTTAGCCTCCCACGGTCACCCACTCCCCCGGTCAATGTTATTCTCTCCAGCTGATGGAGCACACACCGCGCAATGAGAGACAACATTGACTAGGGGCCGGGGGTTGGGGCCCATCGAGATTTGGCCGGGATTGTAGCATCTCCGTATTAAAATGTGGACAAGGCAGCTCCCCTTCCAGGGATAAAATATTGCCATTGGCAGACCCTGAAAAAAATCATATTGCGGAATTACATGCCAAATGAACTGATTGAGCTGCGAAGCAATCAAAACGAGTTATTTTTTAATTTCATGTTGTATCTCGAGGTAAAATTGAACGAGGCTTGTCTCATTTCGGGCAGTATTTACACTGCAGTCAAACACAATCGCATAATTGTAATTTTTATTGATTTTAATCTTTGGCGTTGGGTCCAGAAACCAACTCCAATTGCAGACACAATGCCTTAGCAATCAACGATCACCGAGCACTCAAACAAAGGCAGATGGAGAATCAATAACAGAGCGACGGGTAGAAAGCATGTCACGGCTCTTGGTTGCCATGGAAATAAGATGTTTGTGTATGGGGGACTATGGAAATTTCATGGCCGACTACATACCCCTGCATGTTCTTTCATTCATGAATGAACATTTATAATTGATGTCTTTTTGTGGTAAAGTTGCTTTCATATGTATTTTGTATTATAGTCATTTTAACAAAATTCCAGCCTTCTATATTTTCATGTGTAGTTTAAGGGTGGGTTGGGGTGGGGGAGAAACAGTTGCGTGTATAGCAGTTTCATGAGATAGTTCCCAGATAAGAAACAAAATTATATTTAATGATACCTTTCAAGTTGAAAAGTCTTATGTCTTAAAGGTTTAACGATAATTTGTCTAACGTTACACGGTTTGTACTACTGAAAATGTTCGATTCCCACAGAACACTCTCATGAAAAGGGGCGCGTAAACCCCGGGGGAGGGGAGGCTATCCTGACCCCTTTTGACCAGGGGATTTGGAGACGCATCTTCCATTCATGATACTGAAATAAAAAAAACAAAAATTGATAATGATATCTCCCTTTTACCATGACCACGGTAGGCCTGCTTGTGAAAAACACGGGAATGGGAAAATATTGGGAAAGAAAAGAAAAGAACACAACTCACTTTTGAATTGAAAAATTAATGGAAAGTCGAAAGTATAAACTTCTCTTAGTGGACGTAAACCGCGAGGATGCACATACGTGAAAGAGTCTCGGCGCAAGAGCATAATGAACAGCGCCACCTAGTGTTATAGTTGTCATTTACTCCCCGTTTTTGGACTTTCCAACGTTGGGAGGAGCATTATCATCATCATCATCATCACCATCATCATCCCCATTAAGTCGTCAACACAACATCTATGCCGTCGTTCATGACAAGATAGCTATGATGGAGATCGGTTGAAGAATAACATCGCTATCGCGGTTAATTCGCCGATTCCCAGACTCAAAATCTCTTCCGGCATGAAACTCTAATGATGTTCTGCAATTACTTGCTCTAAACCGCCGGGATTATTGCATTAGCCTTGGGAGTTCATGAGGGCTTTAAAAGGATGGAGAATGTTCTGACATTTAGAAAATCGTTTCCGGGATGACTGAAGGCTGGTAATTAGTAGGTGATGGCTTTTGTCCATGTCTGACCTTGTCAATTAAGGAACGACAAAAAAAGAATGGATTAAATATAATTATGCGACTTGCTCGGAGACAACATGGCCAAATTTTAAGCTTTGCAAAAAGTTAACTACATGCAGTTTGCGGTACAGCCCCACAAGTACATGTATGTCTTTTTGATTGGGAAACCAGTGCTGAAGAATGAGCAGTGGATATAATTATACGTTGCGATAAGGGGATGTAGCCTCAATACAAGTCGAAGATGATCGGGGTTAGAAATGGGGGCACACCGGGTCGCGAATTATTTTTTTCCCAAACGAGATCCGACAATATCAAAAGAGGGCGCTCTCTATCTCTCTGCGTTATGCATATTCATGATGTCCAGGGCCTTAGAGAATAAGTTATATAACAAGGAATAATGGTGTTTCAATCACCGACGATTGGCAGTTGATTCGTGGACTTGTTGGAAGTAGTCCTGACTTCTAATCAGGTGATTCGAATTCAAATCTCAGTGAGCGTGTTTCACTTCTTCTCTTTGTACCTTTTAAATAACTAAAGTGAGGAAGGAACATTTCTCACAAGACGTAAAGACTATCTTGGGCTTGTGTTATGGACAACTATGCATTAGATATGCATGTAATGGACCAATCAGAAGATAGGAGCCTGGATGTTGTATGGGTGAAAAAAAAATCGCCACCGGGCCCGAGACGTGAATGCTAGATCCAGATGAGCAATTCTGGACATGGATATTATAGGTCTGTTAGAAGATACATTTGTTCGTTTATGCAGTTGTGTCCCCAGTTTTGTACGGTATTTTTACTTGTCATACACTGTGGTCAGATCTTCACTTATTCTTTTTTTTTATGAAATTAGAAGAGAAATATCTACAAGTCAATAAAAAATATTATCTAACGTTATGCAACAGGAAATAATAAAGCACCGTCCTCCGTTTAAGGATCTACCTTTATCAAACACTTTGGAGAGTTGTGAGCTTCATCCGCACTCTGTTTTTATTAAGTTTGGGTGTTTGAGTCTGACAGATCCAACTTGATAATTTATCTGCAAGAGTCGGTTTACATCGGTTTCTCGTGACGAAACACCTTCCTGCCAAAAGAGGGCGACATTACTGTCGACCAGAGTCGAGGTGCAGTACACGCAGAATGAAGTCTGCGCGCATCAGGTTGCAGACCAGTAAATAAACTTCAGAAATTCGGGGAAAATACTCACAACTCTTCAAAGTGTTCGGAACACACATCAAATTAAAGCTTATTTCATCATCTTTTTTTTTCTTTTTCAATTTTTGGGGGGTCAACTGATGACTTTTAGGAGAAATTTCCATCCGAAGATGATCACCCCTGAAAATAGTCCTGAAGCGCATCGCCATTTGAAAAACGATGCCTACACTCAATTGCAAAATAGAGCGTTTTAAGGGCCCCAATTTCATCCAAATTTAACGGAACTACAAGCTCACAGTCCTGTGCACGGCTTCCATCCATATTTTTTACAAACCCTCAAGTTCATGGCCCACAGCATGCTCAAATACTGAAGATTTTGAGGGCATGCAAATCGTGATTTGGCCGGCATAGGCAATTTCGGACCGATTTACTGGTCTGCAACCATCAGTACACACGCGGAGGCCCCCTTCAATGGGGAAACTCTTACGCACGCTACTGTACGAAGCATCTACAATGATTTTGTTAATGGATAGGGCTTTCAGGATAGAATTGATAGCGTGTTCGGATTGGTTTGTAGGGCCCAGGACTTATGGTTTTCAAAGGGCTATCGATGGACTTGTGAAGAAAAAAAATCTGTCCGGGCGCGCTCGAACCGCTTCACCTACGGAGTTCCATCTGAGAGCAGCTTCTATACGTGTCGATACTTTTGATGTATGACACCGATCGTATGTCGTCCACCCTTTCCACTGCCCCCCCCCCCTCTCCCCCTTTGTTTTTGGTGCTAAATATTCAAGAAGTTTGAATTTTTCACATAATTTCCCAGTTATTTTTGTCTGGGTAACTGTGCCAGTAAGCAACTTGGTGAATTTGAAGCTCATCAATACTGAGCTTTTGACAAGACTACTTGATGATATCTGGAGACAAAGTAAATGCGCGCAACTTTAGGATGCATCAGTAGCCATTTTGGATCGTTACTATGTCCTCGTAATTATTCAGTCACTTAATTAGAAAAAAAATTGAAGTAAGGAAGTGTAAGTAGAATCACCAAAACAAAACAAAATTTAAATTAAAAAAAATAATAACATACCCAAATATGGGAATAAATATATATTACACGGCAGATGTTTACGGTTTATGCAAATTAGGCAAATTTCCACCGTTTGGATTTTTTTTTGGACTTTGAATATGTTACTCTAGGGACTTTATGGAAATGCATATTGGTGAGAAAAAAATTCTGTTGCTATTAGTGTGAGGTCAAGCCTTATCATGCCTGGACTATGTCTCTGCCCCTGACTAATGGTTGAAACATCTGATATTCTCCGGTGTTTAGCCCTCAACCAAATCTTAACTTAAAAGAAATACAGTTCGCCTGTTTGTGACATGGTTCAGGAATACATTTTTAAAGGGCAGTAAACCACGAATATCCCGAGAGTTATCTACCGATAGCTGGCGCGTGAATGTTATGGTCATTGATCGAACAAGGGTGCAGACAAGTATATATCACCGCAGGGACAATGCGAGATAGGACAACAAAATCGGAAAGGTAAATTATAACGTGCTTTAAACTGAAACATGCGTTGCATAAACTGCATTTCATGCTTCCATTTAATAATAACGAAAAAAATAAAAAGACACAATTCCACTGAACCAAGTTTGCATTATTTAGTCAGTTTACAGAGTACTGTATTTAATCAATTAATTGTATCTTCGTCCACCTCTAATTACGGCGGGGCTCATTATATAATAACAATAATAATAACTTTATTGATGGTAGCCATGTCACCTCGGGGATGATTTTCAAATATGGGCCATTTATTTAAAAATGCACATGAGATCCTGGTAAAATTTTAAAAAAATCCCACTTCCATTGATATGAAAACTGTGACAACATGTCGGCAATTTTGAAATGATAGGCCTTTTCCAGAAGATTTTTAAAAAAAAATACATTGAAAAATGACATGTACAATTTCTTGAGATCATGATAAAATTAAAAAAATTAATTACCTCAACACTTCTATTGATATAAAAACTATGACAAAATGTCGGCGATTTTAAAACGTTTGGCCTTTTGTCCACAACATTTTTAGGATAATCTGCACAGTAACACACGCAAGTAACACGTTGACTTGTCAAAATCGCATGGTAACATCAGTCCTGCTACGCTAAAGACGCATCACTTGGTAGTGGAGAGTTCACGAGATACGATGTTTGGTATGTGGCCGAACAATAGAGGCAGTGTACTTATTCTCTGACCAATGCAAAGGATTTATAAAACTAATTTCTTAGAAAGCAAATTGACTTCAGTTTTAGAAAAACAATTATAAGGATAACTCGAGTAAAACTCCCTCCGGAGCATGCATTCTGAAAGTAAATATTTGCGTTGGAATTCTGTAAAAGAAGATTAATTGAGAACCGGGTAGGAATTATACTCAGCAAAGATCAGTTTTGTTCAGTACGTGTTATCCAACTTATAATCTAACTTTTAATTTGCACCAGGACCTCGAAAAAAATATCAATTTAAAATTTGACGTTTTTTCGATAATTTCTTGCGTGTGTTTTAGTGTATTTTAATCGGTCAAGTCGTGGGACCATATCGAGGATATACCGCTACGTTTGTGGTCACGTGGTAATCTCGGAGGAGGGGGGGATTACAATACAATTAAGACACATCATGATGGCAAGTGAAATTGGGTGCGTTCGAGTAGCTAAGACTTTCGTAAGTAAAGCTCGATTAGCTATCACGTGAGACTCGTGTATGCTACGGTATCAACCACCGCTGCCCCAGCTCGCGAGCAGGTCTCTGGTGGCTGCCCGTGTATAAGTAACCGGACAATTTGTGGATAGCAATTTTGAAGATAGCGGGAACTTGATTACGAAATGAGTACCATGGAGAGATTTTTGACACAACTTTTTCCAATTATTAACTGTGTTAAATTGGATGGAAATATTTATAATAATTCATATATATCTTCCGATTCCAGCAATTATTAATCGGAGCAGACGACAGTATGTTTGGTGTATTAATATTCAAAGTCCCGCCATACAACAACTTCTGACCTTAATTTTCCCAGAATACCAGGCGCGCGAATACACACCGAAGAATTCGATTAGCCTCATATCGTGGCTTCTCGAGTGTAAACCCCGTGTGTACACGTGTATATACGGGGAAGCCACTCGAACGCACCCATAAATGATCCTTAAGATTACCACGTGACCACAAAGATGGCGGTATCCGAGATTGGTCGGGAACCCTATTGTTAACCAGCAAAGATTTGTTTTAATTCTTCGTTTTCATCGATTTAAACTTTTCCAAGTACGGGTCGGTGCAGGTGTAGAAGGGGAAGTTACCGCACCAGGGTCGACCCCAGGGCCTGGGCAAGTTATTAAACCAGGCAGACCACGGATCTCTCGGTTTTGGTAACTCACCCTGGTGCCCAGACACTGCCTTAGCTACCTTGGAGATGACATCGATCACTCGGGGGTCCTTGCTGTCCAGTGGTTTGGTTTCAGACGGGTCCCTGGTTAGGTCATAAACCAAGGGTGGGTCATGTTGGTCTGTGTCAGGGCCCACACACTGACACAAGAAAGAGTCAAAGCAGCCTTCGATTCCGTGTGGGCCGGGTACCAGACGACTGGTGCGGTAGTGAAGCTTGTAAGTGGTGTCAGCTGTGGGATCGGTAACAAAAACGTACAAATTAAAGTATTAATGACGGATGACAAGAATCATTGTTTTTAAGGGGGGATTTACCTTCAAGTTAATAAATCGACGTAAGATGGCGGACGACTTTCGGTGCCCCGTTTTGGAATGAATTTGGTGAAGGCGTGTTTACAGGAAATCGTCGCTTAAAATTGTTAAAAACTGATTTTAAGAGAAAATAACATATTCCGACTCAAACATGGGTAGGTATATAAGTATATAACTTATAAATTCCTAATAGTTAGTGGGTGTTTTTATATATTCTTACATGTTAGAGTAAAAAAAAATATATATATATATACAGTAGCTTAAAGTCAAAGTGTAACAAAGTAACGTAACACACGTGTACAGCCATAGGACTAAGACTAACGTGTCTTGATTTCATACCAGTTCATATTTTATTGGAACTAATACTGATAGGAAAAATGACCACTGTAGGGATTCAACGCCTCTTAGGTGATGTTTTGCCAATTTCAAAAGTCTTACTTTTGTAAAAGAAACATGTTTAGGTTTTTAAGAGGGAAAGAATGAATCACTTACACCCTTTTGGCATGTATCTGACTGCATTGATGAAACCTGCACAGTAGTGGAACATAAACTCGCGTGTCATCTCGCTACTGCCGTTAGTCAGCAATGGAATCAGATCCCGTCCATCGTAGAGCCTGTCAGTGGGCAGCTTGACTCCGGTGACTCGGGCCACTGTTGGTAAGACGTCCGGTAGGTGGGTGGGTTGAGACACCACGGTGCCTGGTGGGATGACGCCAGGGAGTTTGATGATGGCGGGAACTCGGATACCACCCTCCCATGTGCTTCCCTTACTTCCTGTATACAAACAGAGAACAGGTGAAACCATAACGACAGCTTTTCTCCATTTTACAGCTCCTTTCACCTTTATTGAGGCGCTGGGTCAATGTACCATCACGTTTGCCTAGCACCTTTCGCGTGTTAGGCGAACGTGATAACCACTACACTACGGAGTCCTAACTTTACCATCTTCGATGTGGCGATGCCTTGTGATGCATGAATGATGCCGTTGGGGTTCCACTCCCTATAAGTACTCTTCTCATTCGTGAATGAAACTACTGGCTTCGGTTTGTTATTGATTGTCAAAAAAAAATTCCCATTCGCAGAAGCTTCAGGATAATTATCCTCGTACTTCCGGAACTGAAATTTTGAAAGACCAAAAAGGCCAGTGTTACCTTTATAGATTCCATTCCAGCCGCCATGTCGTTCACCCTCGTCCGTGAACTCCTCCACGTGACCTCCATTATCTGACGTCACATACACCAAGGTGTTCCTCTCCAGGCCCAGCTTCTTGAGTGACGACAGAATCTCCCCTGCGCTCCAATCCATCTCTTCCAAGTTGTCCCCGTAGCGGCCGTGCACGCTGTGATGGCGGAATCGGTCCATGTTGAACAGTTCCGTGTGAGCCTGTATGAAGGACATGACCAGAAGGAAGGGCTGGTGCTGATGGTTCTCCATGAAGTGAATGGCGCGGCTGTGCAGCCGCTCGGTCAGGTGGTCGTAAGTCAGGGGCTGCTCTACAATCTTGCGGTTCTCCATCATCACACAGCCAAGACTAGTCGCCTTCGCGGACAAGAGAATTAGTCCATTTGCAGCCAGGGCAATAAGAATAAAGGACGAGACACCCTTCCAAGACATAACCCCCATCCCCTTCAGAAGGAAAGCTGCCGCAACTGCAGCAACCACCGAGGACTTCATCTTAGTGTAAAACCCCCGAGCTTTGGCCCAGGCATCGAAGATAGTGCTCACGTTACCGCAGTCCAGCAGGTTAGTCAGTGGATGGCCGTAGAAATAGTCAAATCCCTGCGAATTAGGATCGGAACAGGAATTCTCCTCTTCACACGTGATGCCCAGGTGCCATTTTCCTGAAACAAGTGGATTGTAACAACTTTCAAGTAACGGATTTGTTTTAATGCTCTATCTTGATCCGAGCGAAAAACGATGGTCGAGCGAAAAACGATGAACAGTAACTTAAATTACGAATATTTTTAAAGAAAATAGAAAAGAGTATAGGCCTGTCTCATCAGCACCAAGTACTTGACAAAGTGAATTACCGGTTGTGCGGTTTTAACAGTTAGCGCACAATTTAAAGTAACCATGAGTATATACATGTACATGTGATTTGTATAAGTACATGTAGACACTTTGTAGGAGTTACATTGTATTGTTGATGTACCCTAACGTGGCGCGGCCCCCAACGTGGCGCACTTTGATTTTTCGCCTGTAGCGCCTAGTTAGAGCAAAAGTTTTAACTGAAATTTCACAGGAAGTGAAATTTCATCAAGTTCTAAACACTCCCGTTCATAAATCGCGACTTTATCTACCCGTTACAAAGTAAGAAGAAAAATTCATTTTGGCGTGATTTTCCGGTTTTATTTTGAAGTGCAAAGTGAACCCTTTGAAAATGCCCCGAAACTTAAGGGAACAAAATTCTGACAAACTTCTGGTTGGGTATGTAAGTAGAGATAATAATGGTTAATCAGAATCTATCAACTTTACAGGAATTCTTAAATGTTCATTTAGATTTATTCAAGTGCACCACGTTAGGGAACACTCCGCCAATTTGTGCCCAATTTCCGGACGCCGCGGTTTTTGAACGTCGGATTAAATTTCATGAAACCGAAATTGTACACCGAGGTTAAATAGCGAGCATTAATAAGGTCAAAGTACCAGTAATGCACTGCATGAATTTGAGGTTTGTCACCAAAGAGGTTTGGCAACACTACACAAGGAAAGTTGGGTAAGCTTCTAAGTGCGCCACGTTAGGGAACACCACCATACTTTCATCGCCGAATTTAAATAACAGAAAATGTCATTATTGAGGGCGCAGTGATGCAAGCTATTGCTTACCTATCAATGCTGTCGCATATCCCTTTTCTTTCAGCATTTCAGCCATCGTGGTTTCACTGGAGGGCAAACCGCCATGTGCAGTCAGGAAAAATAGCACTCTTGTCCGTCCCGGGGTCTCCACACCTAGAAGATCGAAACAAAATGCATGTTAGCAAGGTCGAGAGTGATGTTGCTTTGGCGAAACCGACATCATTGAATGACTGTAAAAAAGTTTCACTGCAAGTATTTTCGAAATATAAAGACTGCGTAACCTTCATTGAGCTGTCAATAAAATGATTAACTGTTGGACAAAATACCCTTTCATCGATTCAACATGTGTTCATTGAATTTATCAGCCCCAAACGTTCAGGAACCTCAGTTAGATATTGAAGATTTTTTTTAAACGAATTCTATGCGGATAACCGGGGTTTTTTTTCAAACACGACAAGACAAGACTATAATGAACCTGGTCCAAAAACGCACAATTGATTGAGAACTGCTGTTTACTGGATGTCTTTTCATGTTTGTAGACTACACAGTGGACAGGATTAAGCCCATTCATTGGCAAAAGATCGAAACAAAATGCATGTTTAGCATGGTTGAGGGTGATGTTGCTTTGGCGAAACAGACATCAATGAATGACTTTACGAAAGTTTCACACTAACTATTTTTCGAAAGCTTGCAGGCACATAGTTGAAGCAGTATGATTCAACTTTCTTCTCTGCAACTTCTACCCTATAAAACATATTTTTTGAGCGAATGCAGGGCGCTGCAATGAATCCATCTGGGTACAAACAGAAACAATTACTTCAATCTAATATTTAAAAAAAAAAGGTAAAATGTGGTTTTGAATAATACTAATCTGTTAACTAACGTCACTAACCTCGATTCATATAAAAAAAAAAATCGTTCCAAAATACGATCTACTCCTCTCGTTTCCACTAATCGCAACCAAGGCCAAAAAAGCAAATTGATCAGCCGCAGCAAGATTTTCAGACCTAACTTTTACTCCCATAGGATTCCATTTGGCATTTCACATAGAGAGCGACTTTCCACACCAACCGACTTACAGGCAACTTACCATAACGTACGGGCAGTCGGCCGGTCATTAGCGCAGCTCGACTGGGCGTGCACATCGGCATGGCCATGTTCTGCGTTAGTTTGGCTCCTTCCTTGGCCAATCTGTCGATGTTAGGAGTCTTGATCGTGTCGTTACCAAAGCATCCGATGTCTCCCATCCCGACATCATCCATTATGAAGATAATGACGTTCGGCGGACGGGGTTTCACATCGCCACATTCAGCGGCTGGAGCGAACGCCCCAACCAGAATGAGCACGAGAACCCCCGTAACAAATCTCATCGCACACCCAAGCGCCATTTTATATTGATAATGGAACCAATGTATCACCGTTTGGTGCAGCAGTAATTGTCTTTATCATGCAATTCACCCCAACGCTAACGATCTAATAATACTTAAGACCACCCAGGAAAAGTGCCCTTTGACAGATAGCGATCGCGTTGACTTTTCAAAGCATACAACCAACAGTCTTTTATTTGTAACCAACAGTCTTTTATTTGTAAGGCTCAAAAGGTTATTCGTCTGTGCGATACCGGTACAAAAGCAACTAAAATTGTGTGGACTTTAACCTTACGGGCTTCAAATACTTTACCTATTTCTGTTGATCCCTCCTCCACGAACGTCGATTTGTTCAAGCACCAAACTATAGCAGGAAACTCCCACACAGCAACGGGTTGAATAGGTAAAATACTTTAAGTTGGTGTATACGTGTTTTTTTAATTTCAGATTTCTTTTCCGAACGGATGTGAAGGAATATAATGCCCTTTACATGTAACAAATACATTTGCTTGTTAATTTGCATTTGCAGGCCTTTATACAGTTTTAAAACGTGGCTTTACACAGCGCGCTCCAGTTCAGAAAGTTTTCAGAGAAACGCTATAAATATTCATATCTAGTGACGTAGCCATTTGTTCCTGTATGTTAATTTTGGAATCACGCGTTTTGTATTAGCCTGGCACCATGGACCGATCCAAATACGCGATGATCACGGCCGTTCTGGTACATGCGGGCGCGATATCTGTAGAAGATTATTGTTCAAGGAAAGGTTGAAGGCCGTTCACGTTGCAGACAGAAACCCCGCTGGGTCGATGGATTAAAGGAGCTGACAGGCATGTCTCTGACCTTAGCCTACCGGTCAGCTATGGATAGGCAGAGGTGCAACTCCATCATCAAAGGGTCACAATGAGTCGGTCATGGCTCTCATGGCACGCTATGCCGGCCTGCCCAGATCCCACGTTCGATCAGAATGCCTGCTACCTTTGCGCCTTTTCCTCTCAGATTGTAAAACCCGAAGGCCTATTTTTCCAATTTCAACGAAAAGTACTGAACATATCAAAACGATTTTTAGCACATAGTTGGATCATTATCAGGGAAACAAATCCTGAAAGTTGCATGGAGATACGGTCTTCCAAACGGGAGAAATTAATTTCCAAAGATTTCGCCCGCCAACGTGAACATGTCTGTGTGCATGTTGTTTCATTCAAAATAAAGTATTACGTAACCTTTAGAAATCAGCCTTCGCAACCACACGGCTGGAACTGGCCGGGAAGCGATTTTTTCCATACCACACGCTCGCTTGTATATATAGAACAAGCTGGTTTACCCGATCATAGATCGGGTAGGGCATATTGTTGGGGATGAAAATGTGGGGAGTTAAATGTAAATGGGGGATATAGTTGGGGAGACATGCAGTTAAAGAATAGCAATTTCTGTGGTGTGATCTGAGGCAATTTCTGATCACTAAAACCAATTTGAGCAAAAGATCATCTGTGAAAGTTTTGAGTTTTGAGTAATTGAATCAGCTACATGTATTCTGAGCAATAGAATCATGATTGTAGGCTACAATATTTTTATTCGGGGAAGGAAAAGTGTGGGGGGAGACCAAACAATGTCCCCCCTCAAAATGTGGGTGTGTGTGTGTGTGTGTGTGTGGGGAGGGGGGGGGTTCCCCCTGTCCCCCGTCGATTTACCGCGCACATGATAATTATGTACCATGGCAACTGTCTGTAAATATTGCCGTTGGTCTGTTAAATTGGCTTTTTGTGAGGCAGTCGCATTTGGAAAACGTAGTGAAAATGTTACTGTAGTACACAGGCGAAGGCTGGTTGTACAGTTTGACAATAAATCATAATGCAATAAAACGTGAAGGTGTCATTTAAAATGAACATGTTGAGTGTTACCCAAAAATTAGAAACGGTCTGAATCATGGAGGAAGGTCATAATTAAGTTTCAGTATTGGACTCTTCAACAAACGTAAACTTGAACTTCTTACAATTTGCGAGACCGTCTGCGATGCAACTTTTATTTAAGTTGGTTAAACCATCTATATATAAGAGCAAGTTTTACTCGGCCTCCGAGAAATGTTTGCTTCTGAACGGATCCGAGACCGCGGCTTCACGTCCGTGGAAAAATGTGGGTGTCTTCCGCCGGGTCGGACACTTTTTCGTCGATGTTTTTGTGACTTCGTTTAAGATCGCGATATTTGAAGCAATGCATCGATCCTTCGTTGACCCCAAACAGGCCCCCGAAATTATAACGCGACACTGAATAATACGTGGCGGGCAGCGAACTCACAACGCTCAGCCTTGGTGGTGGAAGCATGGAGCTGTAAACACATTTTGGAAGCAACAGCGCTCTATCACGCGACGTCACATGCTTGTGCTTCAAATAGCGAGCACCGTAGACTCAACCTCGTTTCCAGGGTGTGGAGCAGGCTGCAGTACGCGTTGCCAGTGACGGTTTTACGCATAGCCGGGAAGTACCACGCAGTGTAGACTTTCGATTGGTCAGACCGCGCTAGGCATACTAATGTGTAGTCCTTCTGAATATTCGTTGCACTCGGCGCAGGGGCGGCAAGCGAAGCACCATGGACAAAAAATATTTTACCAAGGTCACCCCATACTAACGTTTGGTGAACGCTTTTGCAGAAGGGCCGAGTAGAACACGTAAACGAAACCCCTACGTTGACCTCGCTGACCTCGCACAGTCTAGACACGCAGAAAAGCCAGCACGGGGGGCGGCCAGGCAGTCAACGTGAAAGCGCACACGACGGCAAATTCCTGCGCAAAATCCAGTCATGAAAAATCGACGAAACGGATCGCCGGTCCGTACGGGAAAATTAGGACGACCCGAAGCGTCCGACCCGGCGGAAGACACCCTCCGCATTTTTCCACGGACGTGGAGCGATTTTGGGGCCGCGGGAGCCCGCGGTCTCGGATCCTTTCAGGAGCAAACATCGTCTCGGGGGCGAGTAAACTTCTCTCTTATATATATATATTATGCTGGAGGGCCATATGCAATAGTATAATGTTTAAAACTACCACATCGATCGAGTCCCTGCTGTAGTGTCATGGATACTACATTGGATTACAAATCCGATGGTGTGAGTTCAATTCCCATTGGAAGGTTTCTATTTTAATTTCTTCTTCTTTACTTCTTTTCTTCTCTTAAAAAGGTTTGTTAGTCATATGGAACATTTTTCTTTTACCAATATGTGGTTTGGAGGATTTTTTTCAAGGAAAAATAAAGTCCGAGAACCTGACTTGCAACTCAACGTAAAAAAAATCGCGTACGGAAAAAAATATTGCGGCCGGGAATCACTTGAAAGTGACGACATTTTAAAGTGGTGAAGGAACACGTTTCATGAGACAGTCACGGGGGGAGGGGGCGCGAACTTCAAACCTTGCACAGTCTAATCCAGCCGGTGGGCAGACCAGAGACCAGCGCGCCTTTCACCATCTACGCCACGTGCTCTCATTAACTTACCCGTGAACTCTCATTGCCTTATAAACCCCGTCGAGGATCAAAGTCATGACGTAAAATAATATGTAGGGTAAGCTAACACGCTCAAATTTTCAATTCAGACCGGCTTGGGGATATTTTTTCGTGCAGCATACATCGTCAATGGAATCATGATTAGTCACTGTGGCACTTCTAGTGGCACTTCTATATGTCTGATTGACTTTACACTTGTCAGACACTAAGACCAGCAGCCGAAGATGGTCCCCATTAAATGTGCAGTTTTTAAATTGCTATATTGTCGGAAGTACAAGTCCGATTGGGTTAAAACTTGGTATGCACATCCACAGGGATGTGTTATAGATGGAAATTGAAGTGACGTCATCATCAAATGTCATGTGACATCCCTTAATGGGGCATTTTATTCTTTTACAGGCCTATATATACAGAACTATAATGTTCGATTTGGTTGAAACTTGACATTTACGTATAATGTGCTGTTATAAGACATTTGTAGTGACGTCACTAATTGCGCATCACGTGCGCAGAGTATTTCAAATATCCGAAACAGCTTGTGTTTGTCCACAAACACATTTCTAGTCATTAATATGCGTTTTCACGCAAGTGTGCGATGTGAAAACAAACGTTGTCGAGCAAGGAGACCTATATAGGTACAAAATGTCGGATACGGTAAAATTCGTTTTAACCCATCTCCAACTGATTTCTCGTCTTTTTTACATGTGGATTGTCAAGATAAAATTCCAACATGATTGTTTCTTGGGGTGATTACGGTTAGAAATCATTCTGTTAAAAATTGTAGCAAGAGACAGCGCAACCCCGTGTAAAATGCCCATGTAGGCGGGCCGCGTGAGGGGTCCGGAAGCTCAAAGACAAAATGGCGTACTTTCAGACTCTATTTAAAAGAAAAACAAGTCTCCGAGAACCCAAGTATCTTCCACACAGTGTGATAAGTATTCGTGTCAAGGAGAGTGCGTGATCAGATTGGTTACAATCTGTAGAGATTGACCATGTCTGCTGCAGAAAAAAAAGTTGCGTCCGGGGGAAGAAATTTAATATCAATGAATATTCCATATAACGCAACCGGCCGAGGATATTGTTTTCTAAATTCTTAAAAAGAATTAAGAAATTGATTCCGCCCGGGCTCGAAACGGGGACGTGTTTGTTATGCGTGACCTACTTCGCGGCGTATCACATATGAATAAGCAGCGCAGGCAGTAGTTACCGACTTCAACCACCTAAATCCCACAGGATTCCGTAGTGTAGTGGTTATCACGTGCGCCTCACACGCGCAAGGTCCCTGGTTCGAGCCCGGGCGGAATCATTATTTTTTCTTTCTTTCTACTAAAATACAAGAACATCATGATCCCCGACGCACACACTTAATAGAACGCCGTGAAATCAATCACCCAATTAACACAACACTATCAACAACTTAACTCCAATAGGATTCCGTAGTGTAGTGGTTATCACGTGCGCCTCACACGCGCAAGGTCCCCGGTTCGAGCCCGGGCGGAATCATTTTTTTCTTTCTTTCTACTAAAACACAAGAAAATCATGATCCCCGACGCACACACTTAATAGAACGCCGTGAAATCAATCACCCAATTAACACAACACTATCAACAACTTAAATCCAACAGGATTCCGTAGTGTAGTGGTTATCACGTGCGCCTCACACGCGCAAGGTCCCCGGTTCGAGCCCGGGCGGAATCTTTTTTTTTTCTTTCTTTCTACTAAAATACAAGAAAATCATGATCCCCGACGCACACACTTAATAGAACGCCGTGAAATCAATCACCCAATTAACACAACACTATCAACAACTTAACTCCATTAGGATTCCGTAGTGTAGTGGTTATCACGTGCGCCTCACGCGCGCAAGGTCCCCGGTTCGAGCCCGGGCGGAATCATTTTTTTCTTTCTTTCTACTAAAACACAAGAAAATCATGATCCCCGACGCACACACTTAATAGAACGCCGTGAAATCAATCACCCAATTAACACAACACTATCAACAACTTAAATCCAACAGGATTCCGTAGTGTAGTGGTTATCACGTGCGCCTCACACGCGCAAGGTCCCCGGTTCGAGCCCGGGCGGAATCTTTTTTTTTCTTTCTTTCTACTAAAATACAAGAAAATCATGATCCCCGACGCACACACTTAATAGAACGCCGTGAAATCAATCACCCAATTAACACAACACTATCAACAACTTAACTCCAATAGGATTCCGTAGTGTAGTGGTTATCACGTGCGCCTCACACGCGCAAGGTCCCCGGTTCGAGCCCGGGCGGAATCATTTTTTTCTTTCTTTCTACTAAAACACAAGAAAATCATGATCCCCGACGCACACACTTAATAGAACGCCGTGAAATCAATCACCCAATTAACACAACACTATCAACAACTTAAATCCAACAGGATTCCGTAGTGTAGTGGTTATCACGTGCGCCTCACACGCGCAAGGTCCCCGGTTCGAGCCCGGGCGGAATCATTTTTTTTCTTTCTTTCTACTAAAATACAAGAAAATGATGATCCCCGACGCACACACTTAATAGAACGCCGTGAAATCAATCACCCAATTAACACAACACTATCCACAACTTAAATCCAATAGGATTCCGTAGTGTAGTGGTTATCACGTGCGCCTAACACGCGCAAGG